CACTTTATGTCTGAGCAAGAAAGGTTATGTCTCTCTCTACATCTGCCTCCTCCACTCCAGAAATGTTTAACTCGCTGGCCTGTTTCAATCAAATCGGCAAATGCCTAGAAATCTCAAGGACATGATCCTACCATGTCTTAGTGATTGGATATTAAGCATTCAGATGTCCAAAGCCTTTTATCAGGGTTGCTAAGCAATAGTCTTTACAAAATTAAGCTCTTACGGAACAAAATAGAAAGCATTCATGAATTAAAATATGATTAAAATATAAGAAACAATAGACAAAAACAACAGTGTAGTGAAAAATACAGGCACTGCATACTACATAAAAAGTAACTAAAAAAAAGTATCAAAACGCAAATGAAATTCTTATCCCATTTCAAAAGCAGTCAGTATAATATCTTGCATCAGGATGACTACTTGACATTAATGGCATTGTTGGAGACTGCCTTCCACCTCCCAAATGCTCAGTAATGAGACACAGTTTAGAATTCAATATTTAAACATGGTTAAAATAAATAAATAAAGACACAGGCTATTTTTCCTGATAGTTAAAACTAAAGACTATACCACTACACAAATTGGTCTACTACCATACGTAGAGCATACAGACATCTCCATTTCCACTGTTTCTAATACAATATACAGAGCCTTTTAAGTCAGAGATAGAAGCCAATAAAGTCATTGTTTCAAATACACCAAGAAGTCTTTAAATCAGTGTCAGGCACCCCCTCCTGAAAGGAACTAATATAAAACCTGCTTCTATCTCATAAATGCAGAGAAATATGTTAAATATTTATATATTCAGAATAATTCAGCCATTATATTACCTCATTTTACCAACCCTTCATGCAAAAAGGATGACAACATGTAGGGTAAAAAAGGTAGGAGATAATACAAAGATGAAACTACGGTCTTGTATTACACTGTTTTAGTTTGTGGAACCTTTTACATATGACAAAGTCTATGAACATTCGCATAATTCATTTCCATAGTCTTTAAAAGTATTTGACTGTCTCGAGGGAAATTTATCAAGCAATTTTGTTTCGGAAAGAACACACAAGGTACTTACACCATTTACTTTTAGAAAAATAAACAAAACAAGCAAAAAAAAAAAAAACAACCCCAAGTCAACTGAAAAGCCCAAGTCACTTTTGTTAAAATGCAATTCAGGTTAAAGAATAAATCAGACTAAATATTTACAGCTAAAAAGGTTTTACAACACATCCTATGTCAGCAAGATACATAATTCTTTATTTTTTCTACTTTGCAAAGCTCTGCTATAGAAGACAGTGATATATTTTAAGTGATTTCATAGATATAGCTTTAGAATATCAGGGTATCTACTTATGTAAAAGGAAGGATGCAGGAACCTTTCCAAAATTTTTTTCCCTCAACTATAATTATCGTGTATTTTCCATTACATGTGCAATGACTTACGTCACAGAGCCTAATAAATGACTGATAAATTCAGAATTAAACCAGACAGAAGATGAGATACTGGCTAGAGCACTTTTGTTACCATACAAACCACGATATAGCTGGACACCATTTAAGTGTCCAATCCTACTCGCACTGAAGTTCACAGAAGAACTACAAAAAATACCAAGTGACAGAATGGCTTTCTAACAATTCCAAACAGCAACAGTTATCTATCACAATAAGAAATACCTAATAGCAGAATATTAAGTGTGCTGTCATTCCCCTGAAGCCCTCCTTGCTCATGAGAAAATGGGCTCTGCTTTGAGAGCACCCAATCCAGAATTTCAGCTGGTGACAGCGTAATATTTATCCCAGGCTTTCCACTAAGAGGAGAGGAAGACGTGCAGCCCAGTGCGGCTAGGAGACAAAATGCTTTTTCCCCACAAGAGCATCACTGGTGGGATCGTGTCTTTCAAGAGAGGTCGCTGCTCTTAAGCACTTGGGAAGGAAGCCATCCACCATCACCACGGGCCTGAACGTCCCCTGGTGTAGACAGGAAGGAATCGGAGCCCTGCCTGTCCAGGCTCACCCTCCGCTGCTACTGCCTCCCCTCCTTTCCCGAAGGGTGCAGGCCACTGGGCCAAGATCTGCCTCTAAGCAGTGTCTTGCCAAGCATCCCATCCCGTCCCGAGAGGCACAGGGTACAGAAGCCCTGATGCCAGCAGTGCAGGGATGCCGGTAATTCCATGTTGCCACTAATCTTATGTTGCAACAAGATTAGCTCACCTTCTCTGTCAAGTCACATTGTCGTTTAAGGCATCCTTACAGTTTGGAAATGTCAGGGAAAATAAGCAGTGCATGCCTAGCCACTACAATAGTAAAAGGCACTGCTGTGGAAATCCAAGGGAAAAAACAAGTCTTCTCATTTTCTTGCCCTAGGACACATAATATAGCAAAACCAAGCCTGGTAACTGCATCATCACCCCCTGAGTACACTGAAGAAATAGCAACATTCAGGCTCTTGCAATTACTAGCAGCATTTGTCCTCCCATCTATGTTTAGAAAGCTAAAATTGCTTTCAAAAATATGATTGCCGATTATATATGTCTCTACTAATTTTAAATATCTCTTTCAAATCCCGCCTCCAGGTCCACAGTGAGACTCAGCAAAACTTCTTTATCAACATACCTCTAAAATGATATTTTGGCCTATAGTAAGCTTTACAGTTAAAAATATGAATCAGAAGATAAAGCTAACTGAACAAATTCCATCTCCCAATCTTTTTTCCATTTGGAAAGTAACAGTTTGAACACTGCCAATACAATTGCTAAATGATTAAGTTAAAAATATATGCAACTGAAATGGCTTAGTGGCAAGTTATTTGTGCAAAAATCTATAATGTTTCTGCTTAACACGTCAGCACAAACTTTACTAGCTCTTGTAGTTATACTGCATTTATTAGTCTTTTTATTGGTATTGGATGAGAAGAAATTTGATATAAGTGCAAATGAAATCTAATAAGCAATTTGCAAAATTGTTTTAGGTCGTTCGGAAGGTGACCTTCTACATTAAGACATCCTTATTGGTTTTAAATACACGGTTAAACAAAAGGTGCATATGGAACAGTGTGCTAAATAATAAAACCTAAGAAACAGTATAGATCTGCCGTATGTACCAAGTCAAAACAGAAAAAAAATATTCTTTATGCAGTTGTTTAATATAAAAAAAATAAAGTCATACCGTATGAGAAACTTGCATTTAAAAGATGTACTTGGAAATCTCATGCAAATAAGTATTTAGTTTTTAAATACCACTATAATACCATAATATTTGCTCCAAGCAAGAATTAAATAATCAAAACTTCAAAATTATCAAATTACAGATGAAGATCCTATTGAACTGGAGCATGACAGTTGCCTATGGACTACTGATAACAAGTGATTACATTCAGCATGGCAGTAGTCTAAGAAATTAAGATACAAGCTTGGTCTTTCAGAATAAATCTCTTAAACTACTGAGGAATCATAGCTCACACATCATGAGCTCAAAGTGAAGTTTTGGCAAAAAGAGCTAATCCTTGAATGCACCTGCATGGTGAACTGGAGTAAGGAAGAGATTTTACATCTATCTGTGTACCATGTTGATGAGACTAATGATCAAGCACCAAATGCAGTGCTAGAGTCAACATGGCAAAAAACTTTAGAAGTTCAAAATGCTGCAGCAATAGCAACAAAAACTATTCAAAGACCAGAGAAATTAGCTACTAGCTAGCTAGTTAAGTGAAACACTTACATAATTCAAACTTTTAGTTTATCAGAAAGATAAGAAGTGCAACTAAGTGCAACTACTTTCCACTGGAAGAAAGTATCATGTACTAGCAGATGTTAAAATGACTAACAGATTATTCTCAGACAATAATAGATTATTATCAGACAAAGGAGATAAGGGGGAGTAAGAAGCGACCATAAATGGAAGCAATTATCAAACTCGATTCAAAAATCTGCTGAAAATTAACAACCACATAAAACCTATAATGACAGACTACCAGGAAAAGTGATAGATTCCTCATCTCTTGACATTTTCGTATCAGATTTGGAAGTCTTTCTATAAAATACACTTTATTGAAACAACTTATTGAACTCATTAAAGAAATAATAAGTTACTCTTAATTCTCTGTCAGAGGTCTGAATAGATGGTCTAAATTGTACTTTCTGGCATTAAGGTCTATGAAACTAACTAAACAGTGCTACATAACAAGCATTTATAATGACACTGACACTTAAAGACATTACGTCTCTATGAGACACAATTATGAGTCCATACATACTCCATTTACTCCAATGTTTACTAAACTAATTCAGCTGACATTTCCCATGATTTTGTTTAGACTTTCAAAATATTTTTAGTTAATTTTAACACCAGATCTACTAAAGAGGTGCGAATTGCTCAAATGTATATTTAAAAATTGCAAACAGAAGTTACCGGAAGAGTAAGAAACCGAATTAAGAACAGGAAAACCATTTTTCCCTGATATGAGTGTTTTCACTTGCCCACTTGGCATTTACGCATTAAACTATTGATGAAAAATAATGATCTCAACTAGAGTTTAGTAGCATAAGGAGTTTAGTCTGGAGAAATAGTAAGACAGAGGACATGACTGAACGATGAGCACTGGGAATTGAAGGCTAGATGCTAGTACTGGAATGAGCAGCTAGGTAGAAAAACAGGAAGAAGTCTGAAACTTAGAATCAGTGCAAGGCATTGATTCAGTAAACTTAATATTTTGCTTTTTGCTGAAGAGTTAGGAGGAGGTATTGACATTAAATCACGCTTTGAGCGGGTGTTCACTTCAATACTATAAATTCTGATGACATGTATCAAGTTTTGCTTGTTTTTTAAGGGCAGGAAGACTGACGGCATGAAGCGTTAGTGGTGATGCTCATTGAAGACTTTTCTCCTTACTGTTATGATTCTCAGATGACACTGATACAAAAGATTCAGGAAAGCTAATGAGCAAAAAAAACTTCCATGTCCAAAACATACTATTAGAGTTATGAACGTGTAAAAGAAGTACTTACTTGGTACGTGTCCCATAGCCTGATGGTACACCGTAAGGGGACTTCTCTCATCAGTAAGTTATTCATCCAACGGAAAGCGAATTGTAAGTATTTCACCTCATGCTGATCCAAGTGCCTATGAACTTGTTCTGAAGACAGAATAAACAAGTATGTTAGTGCAACTTTTCTGCTGCCCATAAATATCAAATGTACTGTATGAATAACAGTTTTCCCACCCCAAGTAGATAAAATTTGGTGGTGCACACACATTCTTACAACTAACGAAAATCCAAAAAGTAGAAATGACTAGTTAAATATTACACTAGATTTAGTTTTCTGTCTCTAGATGTCTTAAACAACTAAACAACTGCTCTCAGTTGTGCTATTTTAAATTCAGATTAAGGTCACTACTTTACAATATACCACAAAAGAAAATATACATTATAAAGTAAAATGAGTAGTTACACATATCCTCATTTATTTTTTAGATCGTAATTTATTCAGGGCAGGATGACAATCAACAAGGTTTGCAAACATCATAATGTTTTCTAAAAATAATAGGTTGATGGTCCATTACAACAAATGCAGAGTAGATGCTACATAACCTAAACAATACAACTGTGAAGTCACTCACTCACATACATAAATGAAAATGTAACATTAATGTTTAAGAACTAGAGTAAGCAAATTTCAATAATTTACAGCTTAAATCATTTCTTAGTATAACAAATAAATACAGATAAAATCTGTACAAACTAATGATTTCTAAAGTATTACTCACACACTGTATTTAATGTCACTTTTGCTATTTGAAAGCTGCATGGGTTATTTCTATAGCTAATAGAATTAATACATCAGTGTGGCTTTTACGTGTCAAGCCGTCTTTCCTCCAAAAAAGGAACAAAGACATTCTGTTAGTAAGTTTTAGCTAAGAGGCTCAGGTAATATAACAGCATGATATAAATTACAACTACAGCTGACATACGAAATGTTAATGTCTATTTTGGATGAAAGTATGACAAGGAGTCTATGTTAAGGCCTGAAGAAGGTATGTCTACTGTATTTCTTTACATAATATAAAATACAGAGATTTTGCTATTCATATCATCCACATTCACATAAAATTTGCTGTTAAAATAGTGAGTACATGCTGAACCTCCAATTTAGCATTTCATATTGCTCAGAAAGAACTAAAAAGGTACTAAAAAATAAATGAACAAAAAAGTCCCTAGAGTACAGTAGTACTGTCACAGGAAAACATTACATAAAGATTAAGGTAGCAGAAGTTAAATTATACATTACAGCAGCTGGTTAAAGACTTTTGGCAAACATCTGAATCCTTCTGACCAAACACATCGGTATTCAACCTACACAACCACATTTGCTTCCTAAGGCCTCTACGCTGAAATAAGTACAATAGAGAATAAAAGAGGGCTCTGAACATGCAGCACAAACCTAGGGAACAAAATTTAATTCAAGTCTACTACAATTAAATTTTAACCTGTCTGTACAAAATTGTAGACGGGTTCAATAATACTAACTTAAGAAAATACTATTTTTAATTATTTAAAACTTTGTCAGACTGTAAAGGCCTAGACTTTAAATTTATTCATTCAATTTTTTCTCAAGATAGTTTGTGAGGCTATAAAAAAATTTCAGCCAATATGGTACAGATCTTTCAATATGGAAGAAAATAATAAAAACTTTCCTGATTTAAAAACAATCACAATAAGCTTTTTTTTTTTTTTAAAAAAAAAACACATAACAGCTACAAAAGGTCACATCGAAGTCCATCTAGCACAACATCCTGTCTCCAACAATGGCTAAAAACTGACGCTTGTCAAAGTGTGCAAAGCAACGATAGTTCTACAGTGCCCTCTCAGCCTCTAGTTATCTGTGGCTCAGAGCCCTTCAGTCAGACTTGGTATCTTTCTTTCTTTAAAGTGGTATCCTTCTGTTACATAGACAACTATACAAAATCATTTATGTATTTCATACCATTATCCGTTACTTCTCCTGTGAACTTTTTAAAATTGTAATTATATGTAAAGATGTGTGAACTTTTAAATCATCTTCAAATGATTATCTTCCTTTCTATATGTAACCCTAACCACGTAACTAGATACACTGCTATACAATAGACTGAACTACTACTACTGTGGGATGTGAAAAGGTAGAAAATCAGAGCAGAAAGGCAATGACTGTGCACACTTTTAAGTGATCTCATCAACCCATGGATAATCCCTCTGCTTCTCAGTCACTATGCATACATTGAAAAGTACTACTGCATTACCATCCATTCAATACTTTCAAAAGAAAGAAAGGTGTGATGCATGCTCCACTATCCATAATAACCTCCACTTTCCAATCTCAAGACCCAGGGACTAACTTTCATCCTTTCTCTACAAACCTAATGTCCTCACATCATTCATCCCTTCCTTCGTGGGCTCTCTGCACCTCCTCAGCTCATGTGCTCCAAGGATGTAGCCCTAGCTTCATCTAGCTGGCCCTCCAAAGGGAACAGCTCCATGCTGGACTTACTCTGCAGCCCTTCCTCAGCAGCATTACTTATTTGGGGCACTTTCTTCTCTATCATCAACTGAGCTGATAAAAGTTGTGGAATTTCACATGGTTGGAGACAGCTGTCCCTCTGTAAAACACTGAAGCAAGTTTTCAGCCTGAAAAGTTACTGGAAGGAGGGACAGACATGATAATCACATATGCCCTGTGACCTTAGAGAAATAGACTTAAAAATAGACCAAGGCAATTTATACCTACAAATTCACATTTTGAAGACAGTACAAGCTTCAGAAGCTCTTCTATTTTCATTTTCCACATGGTTAGGTGACTTGCATGCCTCACAGACACCAGCAGAAGTGCAGGTAAAGTGCAGGATTACTGCCATGCACCTCTGCTCAGGCAAATTTACCCTAAAGTTTAATGTACTGAAGTGAGATACTATGTTAATGTTATCTTAAAAATATCACATTCAGATATCTACATCGCAGACTACTAATTAGATAATCCACTACATCAAGTAGGATACAAAAAGGTCAGCTTTATTTTTAACTGAAGCCTTAACTCTCAACTACTGCCTAACGTTTTTGCTCTTCACATAGCAGAAACAAATCTCACTTGATTACTCACAGCCATTTAAAGTAAGTAATGAAGAACAATAAACTGTGCCAACTGTGATATTTCAACTACAGTTTTTAATAGGCTTAATGAATTTTTTGAACGTTGCTTCCTACTCTATGTTGAAAAACAGACTACTAAACTCTGTGCTCTATATACAATTGATATAAGATTGGAATATAAAATGCATTGACTGAAAAGGCTCATTCTTTCTACTTTGTAAGTAATTGTGAGTGGAAGTTATTTTACTGATAAAGGTAATTTGGAGAGTCATAATTCTAAACTTAAATTTTCCATTTCACTGGAAATAAGCACATACATGCAATGAACAAGCAAGAGAGATAATTACTTTCAGCTTTCAGACTTCAAGTATTTTTCATAAAATACTTATACTGCAGTTTCTGATAATAAAATTATGCTACAGTTTTTAAAAAGATAGTTCTTATAAAAAAGCAAAAGAATCAAGAATCGTATTTAATACATTTCCCAATACTTTCAACATATGTACACACAGAAAAAATATTGGTGAAGCAGATCTTCTGATTAATATAAAATACATGCATTTTGAAGTTAGTACATCAGCAGAAAAATTAAAGTATTTCATGTACTATATAAAATGCATTTATAACTATTTTAGCAAATTAAGGGGGGGAGGGGGAGACCGCCAAAGTCACAAAAGAATATTACTACTTCAACTGATAAATCCAAAAGGAAAAATGAAAAGGACCTGCTACACACTGCCAAGGATTAGCCTTTTTATTATTATTATGTAAATAACACAACACACTTTCACAGTCAGATATGCATTAATCTAACAAGGGCTAAGAGCTTTTGACATAGGAGAATATTGCAAAACTTTAGGCATGCACAACTTGCACTTCAGCATGAGCCTGTGATTTCACAAAGAGAAGCAGGCTTAATCTTCTTAGCTTCCAATAGCTGCTTTCAAGAAAGATGAGGAAAGTCTGCGACTAATAACTGCCTCTAGGAAATATTATGAAGATCCAGTTACTGGTAAAGGACAAATACCAGCTACCTAGAGGATGGAAGAATATGGTGGATTACTAATAAGATGCTACAAATTCCTACTGTGCTATTTGCATAACAGATACCCTTAAAAAGTAAGCAAGGAAGCATCTCTAAAAATGAGGTATGTAAATATGAGGAATTTGTAGGGAGCGGGGACATAAATATTACTAGAATAAACATTGATTTCAGATGAAGGTATCATTTTCACTAGTGTCTTACACTCACATCCAGTTTGACTTGGATCTTTAGCTTCTTAGGTACACTAGACAAGACACTAAGACTAGACTGAGTCTTTACAATCAAAGCATTTAAGGTCATTGCTCTATATCAACATGATCCTTTAACAAAAATAAATGAAGAAATAGACTTGTGCTATGGAGTAAGACAATTAAGTCAAAAAAAACTGTGTTATGAAATCAATTAAGAAAGTATTTTCCTAAAATTAAAAACCCTGAAATCCTACATTAAAAAAAAAAGAAATCCTACAGTAAAAAAAAAAATTCTATATTAAAAAAAAAATTAAGTCAAAAAAACCTGTGTTATGAAATCAATTAAGAAAGTATTTTCCTAAAATTAAAAACCCTGAAATCCTACATTAAAAAAAAAAGAAATCCTAGAGTAAAAAAAAAAATCTATATTAAAAAAAAAAAGAAATCCTACATTAAAAAAAATCCTATATTAAAAAAAAAGAAATCCTACTTTTGCTCTGGGTAAATTCAGAAAAAAGAAATAAATGCATTTATTCAGAGCCAATTTAACTGGGGGTCTATCAACACTAACACATTCTATTCAATAGTAATTTATTGAGTAACAGCACAAGAAAGAGTGATTACAATTTGGATATCCTAGCTGTGCGTTTGCATTATTTAATATCTGTGGAACGTTTAAGATTAAACTTCAGTCTGAGTACAACAAAATATACCTGATTTGAAAATAAATACAGCCCCTACATTTATCTTGTCCTACGTATACATTCTCAGGCATA